AAGCACCGCTCCACGAAGCCGCAGCGCCCCCGGCGGCCGGGAGGAACGGCCGTCCCTCCGCTCGCCGCCACGCACCGGGCCCCCCCCGCGCTCATTAGCCCTACTTCATTAAGGCGGGTCGGGACGAAGGTCTGGAAAGCACAACTTCAGCGCCAAGGACGCAGCCCTCGCTGCCACCCCGCCCGCAATCACCAGCTGGAGAAGGGGACCCAGGAGAACCTAGTGCCTTTATTTCTTGGAAGAGCACAAGGGGTGTTTCAGCAGTGGGTTTGACACGTACAGACTAACAGCAGCGAGCTCAGCAACATCAGTACGAGAAGCAAATCATTCTAGAAAGGTCATAGAAAAACAAACAAAACACCAAGTGTGTCACGTCTCTCTTCCAAGGGAGAAAAAAAGAAAGGAATGCTCTAAACAAAAGCCCAAGCATTCCTATGAAGGCCTCGTGGAAGCAAGCATCCCCCCAAGGAAGGGCACAGAGCTGCTCTAGAGCAGACGTAGAGCCCCTGCTCTGCAACCCGCAGCCTGGAAGCAGGACTGCGGCACTAAACCCCGGTGAGCCGACACTGAGTGAAGCTGCAGGAGGAGCAGCCCCAGCGTTACCAGGCACTGCTGTGATCCACAACAGAAAGCAAGCTTCAGCAGGTGCCATCTCGCTACTCTGGACTGACTCACCCTGGACAGTAACAGGAAGAATCAGCTTTTTGTTTCTGTAGGTTTAAGACAAATACCAAAAATCTAAACACAGTAACAGGAAGAAAGAGCTACTCCTAGGAGCAGTAACTACCTGCATGTTCTGCCCTGCACTGACCCACCCTGTCCCAGAGCGACTGGGAGGGCTGAGGCAGTCACTTGCTCCCCTCTGTATCCAGAACATACACAGTTGACAACTTAAAGCTTTATTGTAGTCTGCAGTAACATCAGCAAGTGCTGCCCTTCAGTCAATGTCCATCTCAGGCAGCTTCTTCTCCGGGGGGGCTGGAGGGGCCGCACTCTGCTCAGCATCCTGGGGTGCACTGCCAGCCTCACCCTGCCCCTCCACTGGTCCATTGGGTTCTGCTGGCTTCTGCTCCTCCTTCGGCAGTTCCACCTTCGGTTTGGGTCTGGTGACTATAGGGTTGCAAACACTTGTCAACTCCTAGAAAAAAACACAGAAATAAAAAGTTAGAAATGTTTTTGTCTACCAGCAGTTGCACTTGAGCCTGTTGTTCCAATTCACTTTCAAGCCAACAAGAGTTTTCAACCAAGCACAAACAGTGAGACCAAGGAACAGAACGATTCACAGAAATTCAGTGAATTACATAAAGACTTACTTTAGTTTTAGCTTGTATGTCTTTAGCTTTTATAACCGGGTCCAAAGTAAGACTTCTCTTGTTCTGAAGATTAAGTTTGTTGTTCATCCACTCCATCGCTTCATTTGCACTCTTCTCCACTTTCGCTACATCCGCTTCATCGAGGTGGTCGTACTGTTCATCCTGGAACAGCCAAAGCAGCAGCAGCTGTGCAAATACTCATTTCGAACATGTCAACTGCATGCTTATTTCTTCAGAGTTTTAGCTTCAAAATACTGGAAAGACCATGGAGCCAGAAGGCTGTTCCAGTTAGCAGAGCAATTACACTGATCACCCACAGCTCTACTGCTGCTGGCATTATCCCTCCATGAGGAGATCAACACCCAGTGAAAAGAGACTGACAGATTTTCAAGCCAACAGCTACTTCTGAAAATATGGCACATATCAGGAACCCAGAAGCCAGCCAGCAGGTCACAGCAGCTTTTTGTCTGTACTTTAAGTAAGCTCCTGCAGAAGAGACTCACACCACTTCCTTGCATTTGCCAGAAATTAAGTATGGAAATACCTTTGCTTTGAATGCATGAACAGTTTTCATGTACTGTTGAATTTGCTTCCCCAAGTCCTCAAATGCTTTTGGTCTTTCCTCCGACTCTTGAAATCTTGCCTGAATCGGTTGACCCAGAGTCTGAAACAAAGTACAACAGATATCAAAAACCATGCAGCATCACAATACAATCCCATGAGACTCAGCAGGGTACATCCACACTTCCGAACTCCCTGGAACTCCTGCTCCTCACTCCATGTACAGGGAAGGCAGAGTCTCCCCCAACCCCGTATCATTATGGGCCTACTGGAGATCTGCTCCTCACACGCTCAACAAGCAAGCTAAGCCGTTTGTCACCAGTGCTGATCTCTGAGCAGAAGACCTGGGGCAGCTCCCTGCTGGAACCAGGTTCTCCAGAATCAGTAAGTTCCAGTGGGAATGCAAGAACCACTTACCTTCAGCTCTGTCAATTTATCAATGTAAATTTGTTTGGGTTGGTCTTCACCATCCTCGTAAAGCCAATTTTCAGTATCTTCCAGCTTCAGTGTGAAACTATTCCGATCCTGAAGCAATCCATACAAAATAGGTGAGAATTCTGTTAGATGGCAGATGGCATTAACCAATGCTTGAAACCTTTCTGGAAGGGTTACATCTTCAAAACCTAGAGAACTCTGTCTGAACCTCTTTATTCGATTTTAGTGAAGAATAGGAAGCACAATATTCTTCCATATGGCTCTGTGGTGGAGGCTGGGCCATTTATGACACCCACAGTTTAGATCAATACTGTCACATTAACGCCTGTTTCCCCCTCCATCACTATATAAGCAACTCAGAGCAGAGGGAAATTCATCTTCAGCAAAGGTGCCATCAACCTCACTCCAATTCCCTACATCAGAGCTGAAACTGGGGCATCCAGGCTCTGCCGACACCGTGCTGGCAAGGCTCCCTTTATTATCAATGGAGATCTCATCAAGAGTTTTGAGGGATTCATCTGACTAGTTTAGTCATCTAGCTTAGAATTGTATTGATTACACACCAAGGTCCTTCAATGCACCAGGGAAAGCCAATTAATAACACCAAGAGACTTTTAGGCAACCTGTTCAGACACAGGTGCCCATATTTAGTCAGACTAATCCCACCTATCAGGTTCCTAGGTAGGGCAGCAGTGTGATATTTTTTTTAATCTTAAACTATTCCTAAACACTGACAGAGCGCCAAAATAGAATAGGTTGCCTCAAAATGACTGTGCAAGCGCTCCTAGTCTGATTGTCTGAAAACACATGCTCTGATAGTGTCCTAATTACTGCAACTGTTTTGGAAAAGAACACCCAATGTATCCTAGGCAGCATCTGCTTGTACTTGGGCCACATTTAGAAGGTTATCTCCACAGCCAGAATAGTTAAAAGCTGTTTCTCCAAATGTAAAGTCTGAAAATACAGTCTAAGGAAACATAGTATCTGATACAGGTCAAGGGTCACTAAAATACAACTGTTCATTGCAATGAAATATACTGGAAGACAATCAAGCAAGAACTACTTACATCTTCACTAACAAATTTCTCATAAACACTGCAGAGTTTGTCTCTCATGTCATACACATATTCTTCCACCGCGTTCTTGGCATCATTCCTCTCTTTCTCAAGCTTATCCTGCATTATCATTTTACCCTGTGAACAAGTTGTCACATTAGTTGGCTGAAAAGCTAGTTAACATTTATTGCCAGGATACCTTGTTAGCAAAGGCTTACATTTGACTCAAGCAGTTGAAATCCTGTGGTTTACAGAACTGTTCTAAACACAAACCATGAATAAAAACTAACTTCTGTTTTGGTGGGATATCCAATACAGTACAGAACAATCCTGTTACAGTCGAGGAACCTGCACCCCAATGGCAGCAGCCATCAGGTGCCCTGTAACTGCAGTGGTTCTGGAACTAGCTGTGAACTAGCTTTCCTGCAGAACACCTCTTCAGGAAGAGTTACAGCATTCACCTAACAGGAATAATATTTTGGCTCCATGGGGCCCTGTTGTTCACCTGAAAAAAAACCTGCATTTCCCCCCACCCTTTTCATCTTTCCTTGGTCACCCTGAACCATTAACCATGTTTAACAAACAGCAACATTTCCAGAGATGAGCTAATGAAATTTTCACCAACTGATTCTCAATGGGAAGGTCCACGGTAGTAGTCTTTACTTTAGCCTTCTTGGCTTGAGGTGGCTGATCCACTTTCTTGTCTTTTGAGTCAGCCTGAGAAGTCTGCATTAAAGAAATATAATCAAAGTAAACACAGCATCACCAGTCAGTTCAGTTGAGTATTTAAGACTTATAACAGAAAAAGTATTGAGTTAGTGTGTACTTCTGATGCTGAGGTGCATTATCTCATTCTGACACTTCAGCTGCTAGAGTCAGAGATAATGTATGCAACTACCGACCTTTCCTGGGCACACCAACTACATTCACAGGGTGATGGTGCTGACAGTAGAACACTTTTCTAGTATTTAAGTTCTTGAAAAATAAACTACATCTTCCATGAAGAGAAAAGTTCACCCATTTTATCAGTACTAGGTCACTTGACAGGTCTGCAGTCACCCATGCCATTTACGTATTTCTAAAGCTCTAATCACAACACACACTACCAACATACTCCAATAAAAGTTCAGCTTCCAGAGCTACAGACAAAGGCAGCAGGCACACTCACACACTACATATTCTCATGAATCTTCCAGAAGCATCCTGTCAGAAAACAGAGTTCTCAGATATTCACATTACCTCCATTTCTTCAGACTCTGCCTTATTTTCGGGTTGGGGCTGCTGTTGTTCTTCAGTCTTTTGTTGCTCTTCCTGGTCTACTTGCATCTTCTGCAATTCATAGAGATCCAGTTTGACATATTAAACAATGCATACACAGATCATTGCTCCAGCTCTTAGGCTGATCACTTCACTTACACCTAGTGTTCTTTAGGCAAAAGAAAGGATAAAACTGAAACAGAACCTCACTGCAAAAATTATAAGCTTCTAGTCTTCGCTGAAGCAAGCAACACTCCTAGCATGGCTAAGGATTTCACTTATACCTCACACTCCTGGTTTCAAGAGATCTGACACTGGTGTAACCATACTTCAATTAGTATTTAATCACATCATCCTATTTTAGTTGGACACATCTACTAAATCCTTACACAAGGCTTAAAACCTTTCCAGAACTCGGCCAATTGTGCTTCATCAGTTTTTTAAGTAGCTAAGAGCAATTACCTCTTCATCTTTTGCATGCTGATCTGTTTCCATAGGCTCTTCATTCTCATCAGATTTATGAACTTCCACTAAAGACGCACTTGAAACACTGAAGATGCCATGGATATTTACTCTAACTTTGACCTTCACTTTTGAACTGGATCCATCTGTTTGAGGAGTGACCTTCTGAACCAAGAAGTGAGCTAAACAATCCCAAAAAAGAAAAACACATACCACTTGATTAACTTAATCACTGAATGTAAAGTAAAACCTGCCTGTTGCTGACAACAGATCACTGATGCACTCAGAGGACAGCAAATCCTGCTCAAACCAAACAATTCTATTCTTTGCCAATGCTAGGATACACAGCAATTAGGAAATCTCTACTGTGTGCTGGAAGAGCTGGCGTAACTTGTATCATAGTAAGAGACTGCACAACTCTCAGTATGCCCCTTTCAGGTTTGCTCCAACATTAGGCTAAATGAAGAGCATCCTATTTGTCCATAAACTTCATGCTACTCCACTCATTTTACTACAGATCCACAACTTTGGAAACCTATCCCTACAGCACTTGTAGTGCACTGCACTTTCCAGACCATATAATTACATAGAAAGAAGTCCTGAAACATGTATAAAAGACTACTGATACAGCTTGAAGCTACAGAATGGTCTTAACCTATAGCAGGATCTGGGTAGGGCAGCTCCTTAGGAGAACTGTAGTACGCCTCAAGAGTAAAAGGTTCCTTTCTGTAGAATGTGAGGACCTTAGAAAATGGAGCGGCATGGTTCTTGGGAAACACCTCACAGTCACTGCAAGAGAAAACAGAGCACTTGTTCAGCATGTGGAATGAGGCATCTGATAGTTAACAAAACTCTTCCAGATACTCTAACACCTTAAGAAAAAGCTTAAAAAGTGACAAAAGAGTCTCCTAACCTCCCAGGTTAAAATAATAGCCATGTAGGAAATGCTAAGTTGCCACCCATCCTTAGTTTTGTTTTCTACTCTCATTAACTTCAGAAAAAGTATCAAAGGTTGAATTGTTAAGTAGGCATTGTTCTAAAAGTGTTGTTTACTGTAGCTGTAATCAGTTAGTTTGAAGCTGTATGTAATCATGCAAGAAGATTGAACACCCAATTTTTTTTACCTTAACCCTTCCTCTGCTGGTGAGTTCCATCGTAAAGAAATAGGATATGGTATCAAATCTGTGATAGAAAATTCTCTCACTTTGAAAGCCGGGGATAAAATAGCACACTGAAAGAGCACAAGAGCCATATTACAAACATTCATACCTCAGGTGAACAGTAATTTAATTCAGCAAGTACCTATTTATGCTGCTTAATATGTAGATTTACTCTAGGTCAAGGGAGACTAATACTGATGGACTGAGGACCTGCACTAGAAGCTCATATGTACCCTTCCTTTTCAGGAAGCTGTCACAATCTTCTCCCTCTAAAAAGGGAAATACACAAGTTTTAATTTAGAGCCATCATGTTTGGCTTGCTATGGTTAGGCTACTGAACTGGTTTTAGTGCCAACATAAGAAATTGGAAAACCTCAATTAAAGGTCCTTTTTAGAGTGGTATTATGCAGGCTTTTTGCTTACTGTAACACAAAAATCTCTTTTTAAGTAGATTCCAACAGCTAGTCTGTATCACTGATGGAAGAGCTGTAGGCACATATCAACATTTAGAGAAACTAGGTGATGAGAGCAAAATTAAAGTGTCTTCAAGAGATGGTAGCACTAGTACCTACAGAGTATTTACTACTGCTTAAGCCATTTAAGAGCAACCAATTCCAGCTAAGGACATATTTCCATTAGCAACAACCTAAGCTTTCATTTCCATCCATGCTGTTAATCAATTGCCATATCACAAGTCTATCATTAGTGCTGTAAAAAATTTTTCCCCATTTAACCTAGGCCCCCAAAGGAGCCTGGAGGGAAAAACATCACCCTGTGAGCTCTATCAGACTCCCAGCTTCCAGGCACAGCAGAAGCAGAGTCTATGTTTCACTCCAACAAGCTACACTGATCCACTGATTTGGCTCAGACAGCACAAAGGAACCACTTAAAGCTGGTATCCTCATTCTTCCAACCGCTTTCCTGAAGCTCGTTTGAATCCATTCTAGCATACACATGAATTACCTTTCACATTACCTGTGGACTATGGTTCAAGTATTTACGAATTTCAATTAAAATACTCACAGCTAAAACAAACAGCACTTTTTACCTGCAGTGCACAACCTCGTGCAACGGCTTCATCTGCATTCAAAGTTGTACTGACTTCTTTGCCAAAAAATTTACTGATCTTCTCTTTCACAGCAGGGATTCTTGTGGCACCACCAACTATCTCTACTGCATAAATATCTTCCTTCTTTAACTCTAGAAAAGAGGCAGACATTAGTTTTTAGAATAAATGTTTCTGCTTTACAGAAATATGCTGACATTGTAAGCTAGAACTTTTACTAGACCAACCATTATTTTAAGTTTGTTCTCCAAGTTTCTAAGCAGTAAGAATTTCAGATCTTGGCTTGTGTGAAAGTGTTTCAAGAAGCCTGTAACTGCTAAGCAAGAAGTTGTTAGCTGTGCTAAACTGATCTGCCCAAGTTCTGCCAACACCCAAGGGAAGCTTGCATTATGGATGTCTCTTCTGCATGCCGGATACAGAATGCGCGTACACTTACTGGCTTGCTCCAGCACACTGCGAAGGGGTGGTTCTACTCTTGCAAGGAGCCCATCACACATCTCTAAAAATTTGCTTCTGTTGGAAGAAGCCATAAATAAAGCTATAGCACACCATAAGCAAGTTAATACTGCAAATACAAGATGCCAAAATTGAAAAAATGGCATTTTAACTACATACTCCAAGGTTTTCTCTCCCCAGTCCTACTTTTAAACTTATTTAGTAGATTCCCCAGCCAAAGTTGGTTCTAGCAATCTAGGCATGCTTGCAACATTCAGAGCCCTCCCTCCCAACTCAAGGTCATTGACCGGTCTCTAAACATTGTAACTTAGAGCAGCACCCCTGCACACCTTGTTCTTACACTTCCCACCTCCCTCCAGTCCTAAGATCTGGTATACCAAGTTTCTTTCTCGACTGAAGCAGCTTGAGTGAAGGGCACTCTATAAAGTTTAGCTTTGTAAAAGTGTGTTACCTGTTCATTGTTCCAGAGACATCTATGTCATTCATGAAGCATTCTATGTTCATTGGGAGATCAGAGGCATTAGCACTCATCAGTTTCTTCAGTTTTTCACATTCCTGGTACAGCCTCAACAACGCACGAATCTTTGACTTTATGTCTAGTTTATATTTCTTTCCGAATTCTTCACAAAAGTATTCAACTAGCATCTCATCAAACTTCCTGCCTCCAAGTGTTGTATCAAATGATGTGGCAAGAACCTTAAAAGAATTGAACTCTTCAGTAACAGTATAATTTCTCATCACCTCAGTGAAACCAATTAGCAGTTAATGTCAAAGCATTTCTTGGTTTCAAATACAGTCCAGCTTTAAATCAAAGCAAGTATCACAACATTACTATGGAGGAAGAGTTGTAGTGGTGCAACCACAACAGAAGAAATCCAGTACAGTTCATTTTTACTCTGCCCTTGCCATCACCAGTGAGGAGTTTCTTTCAACAAGCCTTTTCCACAAGTCTAACCTATCCCAAATGATAAAGCTATGTCCCATACTCATCTTTCACATGTCTGTGACACAGCTGGCAACAATTAAGCTACTCTTATACTTCAGGGCAATTTAAGTAGCAACTGCATCACTAACATCTGATAGTTTATGCTGACTGCAACTGCTGTAATAGTTGTATACACACCATGAGATTTTTTTTTTTTAAAGCCTAGCAAAGTCTAAACAATTATTATCCTACACCTTTTGTAGCTGATACTAGTTACAGTCAAAATGCTGTTGGAGAAAGAACCACCATTACCACGAATTCTGGCAGCTACACGAATATTAGACCTCTTCACGACTGGTAATTCGCACAAGAATTGCAGTGCCTACATACAGCAGCTAAAAACTCCAGGAGAATAACACATCTGCTAAAAGACATTCAGGAAGATAGGGCAAGGCTTAGCAACACAATCTGTGCAGTAACTCATATTGTAAGCAGACCAGAGCTTCCAAACTCTGCTTAGCCACTGTCAGTTTGAATCATATCCCAGTTTAATATTTGATGCCTCATAAGGGTGGAACATGCTTACGTCAAGCTAAAAATAAAACATGAAGAGAGCAAGTGTTACTAACTCTTGCAAATAGGTGCCCATTTTTGATAAAGGAAGCGGAACTACAACAAGACTAGTGTTTTCAGAACCCTGGCCTTCTCTTCATTTCACTACCCCGTGCTTTAAAGTTTGTGTTTGTTTCTCTAGCCAATTAAGAGAAAGTTATTGCAACTGCAAAAATCCAAACTGCAATCTTAAAAGAGCCAACTAAAAAAACATTAGTATTTGCTAGAAAATAGTAACGCTTTGGCAACTTACACTTAGCTTCCATTTGCAGCTTCAAGTAACTAAGAATGCTTTTGCTCTTTTACATGTGCACCACAGTGACTGTTTAAAAAAAAATGTTTGTCATTTGCACCATCCCAGGAATTCCTGTTTTAATGCTGGATCTCACAACTGAACTACAGTATTTTTTGAAAGCAGCATCCAGTCAGATATGATAATTTCTGAACAGGTAATTTATTCCAGGTTCTTTATTCTTTGCCAAAGTCTGCTGATTAAGGCATGTTTGCTTCCTCCACATATCGCTCAGAAGCCCTCTAGTTCCCTGCCCTACTTGTAACTCCAGACAAATCGCAGTTTTAACAATGCGAATTGAGCTGTCTGGACATGCTTACGTAGAGACAGGCAACCTTGCCTGTTACAGTCCACGTATGAACTGATGAGTATTTCTACCGGTAATTAGAAAGAACGCATAACAGATTGTTTACTTTCAGTTTTCCTTTGTTGAATGCACAAACAGAAACTTGATACGCAGAATGCCCCATATCCACAAAAACAACATTCCGTGGCTTCTCTTCCAAGGCAGGCAGGTCTTGTTTATAGATTCCATAAGCAAGGGCCACTAAACAGAAAGAAGAGTCAGAGTAGTTAGGGACATCCAGTTTTGTAATTACTTAAGAAATTAGTACATCAGTAAACAGCATTAGCATTTCAGCTTCCTTTTCAAGATACAGAAATTGGTTCTCTCATCAAAACAAAATTCCCAATGCTAAAGGAACAGAGAAAAACACTAAACAGCACTGGCCCCTCCTAACAGATGCGTTAAAACAGGATCAGTGACAGATTAAAAGCCCTTTTATCTAACAAAAGTACAATACTAAGTGAGGGAGAGAAATCAAGGTATCACCTGCAGTTGTTTCATTTATTAGTCTCAGACAGTTGAGACCAGCAATCTGTGTAGCATCCATCACAGACCTCCTTTCTGCATCTGTGTAGAAACAAGGAACCTGCCAGAAGATCAGACAGCTCACATTAACATTTAGAAGAGCCATCTTTAGCCAATAGTTACAACTGTTCAGAGAGCTGGTACAGAGCACAGCTCAGGTACTCTTCAAATCTAATGTTCATTTCAGTTGCAACAGAGAAAAAGGCAAAGAAAACATTACCTGAAGACAAAGTTACTTTTTGTGAATCTTTTCCCATTTCCTCTCAAAAGCCACTCATTTTAGGAGCAAAGAACTAGAAACAGCTATCAAGTATCATTTATGCTGCTAATAAGCAGCAATTGAAGACATTTTACCATTAACAGATTAACACTAGCTTTGAAGAGGGGACTTGTCTAAGATTCAGTTTCAAACAGAAAAGACAAATACCCAAATCTTCAAGTTTAATGGGCAATTTAATGCTGCAGTCTTCAGTTTATGATACCAACAAAACATGCAAGACTTATTTACTATCACATACTTACAGAAACAACACAGTCAACTACAGGCTTCTTAAGCGCATTCTCAGCAGTCTCTTTTAATTTGGTAAGAAGCATTCCTGTCACCTGTTCAATAGTAAAGCTTCTTTCTTCCTCCATATACATGGCCTTCAAATAGAAATTGTGTACATACATTACAGTACAGTAAAAACCACTTACTACAAACCTAAGGAACACCTACAAGAAACAGTCTTTATTAAAAGCAAGCTTAAAAAGTAACACAGCTCTAGACAACCATCTCTGACAGCCTAGCTCATGCACAGAAATTGCAAGAAGAATTCACATATACAAAGTTACTCTGGACATAGATTTTTATTAATCACAATCTTCCAGATTTACCACAGAGCAAAGGAAAAAAAGCACTGCTAAAACAGTTTGTGTGCGACTGGCTTTGCAAGGCATAGAAATTGTGTAACTGTGTAAGATCAGCATCACCTAACACCTGAAGAGACTATTGGCATTATTAGTCTTATTGCCTGTTTAAGACTCTCCATTAACAAGAGAACAAACTACAGCAAGCAGATTGAAAATGAAGAGATAAAAAGGAAACTCCACCGGTTTCCTCCTCTGACTCCCTCTCAAATATGCCAGACTTACCTTGATGCCAGTTGAGCCTGTTGGCAGCTGGACAAGTTCATACGCAAGGCTTGCTTTTTCAGCTTGAACAAAGGGATCTGAGAATGCACGACCATGAAATCTTTTAAAACTTTGTACTGTATTCTTTGCATTTGAAATAACCTAGAGGAAAAGAAATCTTTAATACAACATGTCATGGGAACATCTGAATTTCAAACAAAAGACAGTTTTGTTCTCATGCTTCCCTCACCAGAATATTTTTATCACTTGTATCTTAATAGTACGAGGGCTGTTGCTTAGAAGGCAACTTCCCTCTGACTGCTCAGGTAACCTACAGTAATTTGAGATTTAAAATAAAATGTACACTAGAAAAACTGAGCCAAGATTGTATCAAAAATTGATTAAAATAGCACTCAATTTTCATAGTGCCTGTGCAGGACACTCTTTAAGTGTGTTAGCAAAGTGTCTTTCCCATTTACCTGTTTCCTACCACCCTACCTTTCCGCTGCATTGCAGCCAGTAATTTTGCAAACACAACAAGCACATTGACATAAAATCCAGTTCAGGTTCATCACATGCATGTGACAGTCAACGCACACATATTCTCACAAAACAGCTCAAGAACCTTGTCATGAAGCTTTAAAAAGTCAGGAGGGCCCCAAGATGATACTGTCAACTTGATTTAACTGACAAAAGGTAGATTGTCTTTTATTAATAGCAGAGATCAGTGCAAATGGAGAAGTGAAAAATCATGATCACTTGCACTATGTGAAAACAAGCTAACTTGTTTCATTCTTTCATTTACACTAGAGCAAGACATACTGAAACAAAACACAGCAGTTGACAAGGCAGACAAGCACTGTACCATATAACATTTACCTGTGATTCAGTTTCAGTCATGTGTCTATTTCCTAAGTAACCTGGTTTTGATTTTCTGTAAGTTTAGTTTCTGCAGGACATACCTCATCTCTACTGGATCTCTGTATCAATGCATTTCTTTAAGCTAAGCAGACACTCAATTCCAGAAAAAACATCTGTATTTAGTTCTAGTACAGTTCTTCTGTTCTTGAATAACATGGTTGTGTCCAGTCATTTTTGTATTCTAGATAATGAATCTTCACACATCTCTAGGTATTTTAGGCTAAGAAAAACCAAGTGTTTGAATAGTCACTTCCTGTAGAGGACTTCAAAAAAAAGATCATGTTTTATAGGGGTTTTACAGCAACACAAGATATGATACAGCAGGACCCAAATGTCATGAGCAGGACAAATCAGCTTAACTTCTTCTCAGTCCTTAAATCACATTTACCTACCTACACCAACAGAAACTCAAAGTATGAGCCAGAACACCTTAGATATTTAGGTTGTAACTCTGCCAAAAGAGCCAAGAAAGCCATAGATGTTTACACTCAGGTATGTCCCCTTTCTGCCAAAACTATGCACTTAAAACTATGCACTTAATGGGATTCTATAGAACGTAGCCACATAATTAGAGGCTATCATAATGCACATGAGCTGGAACAAGCTAAGGTAGGATGAAACACTACTGCTTAGCTTTAGAATTCACATTTGCAACCTAAAAAAATTACTATTTATCAGAATTTGAGAGATTTTTTTTTTTTTTTTTTACATTTCATTATGTACAATGATCACCCCTTAGATTTCTGTCCAAGATGACAAAGCAGCATTACACACTGACAGCTGAACTAAGCTCAGCTGTTCATTACCGTTCTGGAGACGCTAGGAAGCCAGCTCAGAGGCATTTGTAATCTCCAGTGATAAAAAAATATACGGTGCTACTCTGATTCTTGACTACTGAAGTTGCTTTTACCCAAACTATACGCTCACCTGGCTTTTAGCTGCAGCACCAATTGAGCGATTCTTGGGTCCAAAGGCTATACATGATCTATAATGAGAAGAACAATTTCTAGTCAGTAAATGAGTAGAACTGCACTGCATATCTTTTTGTTAAGACATGTTGATAGTATTTAGACCACAGATACTTTAAATAGTACTTGGTCCATTAAGAAAGTTGGTCACTGCAACATGCACATGGAGTATTCTGTGAACTCCAGAAAGAAACAGGCAGTCTAAGTTCAGTTAAAACAGCAATGTTCCTCACTGCAGAGCAGCACTAAAACCAAGCCTACCCACGCTACTTCAAGTTTTACATCTACGCAATAACTGGATAGACACCCTTTGTCACAATAATTACCCATACATCCAAGCCACTCAAAGATAAATTGCTTGCTGAAAATACAGGAAACACTGAACTGTTCAGAAGAAATGTGTGACGTAAATCAGGAGTTAAGAAAATTATTCCTACACATGTGTACAAAGTGCTAACTAAGTTTTCCAGTTTTAAATCAAACCCTTCAAGAGCAGGAAGACAAAACCTCCAGAGAAAGGCCAGTGTTTATGAGTTTTATGTACTCACTGAAGTAATACAGATTACAGAAAGAAAAAAAAAAAATCATACTTTACTCCAAACCACTTTGTGACAGCATACAGTTCTTGAAAAGATAAGATTCAAAAAGTCCCATTCCTATTAAGCCTCTTGATTTGCATATTTAACCAACTGTACAAGACCCAGGAAAATTAAATCCAGCCCTCTAATCCAAGTTCCTCATACCATTGTGGTAAACGTACTGGGGAAAAAAAGCTGCTATTAGTCAAGCAGATCTTTACTATTCACACAACACACTAACAGCATCATTGAGCTGCTCTCTGTGCAGCAGGTCAAGAATCTGCTGTACAGCAGAGTTATGCCATCGGGCTGCCACAAGAAACAAATTTCAACTCAGCCTGAGGTTTAGAATTGGTCTTCCAGAAACCGTCAAAACCAGAACTGAAAAACAGAGTGATACTGTTGCATTGGTTTTATATCTTCTTCCAATTTATTAGTAACTTAACAAATGAAAACAAGGCCCACCCTAAAGCATATGCTGCAACTGAATTAACATTTCTGAACAAATCTTACGATTTGAAGCAACTATTCAATGGATTAGTTAACAGAAAGCAAGGAAGTTCTGTGCTATGCAGACCCTAAGGCTCATACTGAGGGAACAGGACCTGCATAGCATACAGCTAGAAATCTAACGAGCTCCAAGCAGGAAGTTAGTTGTTAATCTACTCTGGTCTCCAGAAAGGAATTAAGACATGAACATTAATTGTTGCTTTAATCCTGAAAAAAAAAAAAAAAAAAGAAAACACACACAAAAAACACCCAGCTCCTTCACTGCTACATTCACAAGCCATCAGTCCCCAAACACCACAAATCCACTAACTTATAGAACCCTTTAAACCTGCCAGACTGAAACCTCAATGTAGAAGTCTGTATCAAGAGAAAGTTACAGCACAGTAATCAGAAATACAGGCTTCTGTATTACATGCTGGGAATAAAGACCTTAAGTGCATACATTCTTCTTAAACATGCTTACCCCTGCCTGGCTTTGTAAACAGGCAAGCTCCTCCAAGGAGCTGCAGGCGGACAGACAGGAGGGTTCTACTCTGCCCCTTCCCTCTCTGCCCATCCCGACTGTTCTCCCAAGCCAACCCTGGCTCGTGGCTCAGCCCTGGGGAGCCACACAGGGACCCAGCAAAGAGGCAAGTTCAACTGTCAAGAGGGAGGGAAAGAAGTTTCATCCAGTCTCACTCCTCAAATGAGTTCACCACAGGAACCAGGTTAACTCATTAAATACAAATTATACTATTACACAAATTTACTGGAAGTGAAATAATTAACCATAGCATTTTAAGTAGAAACATATAATCACAGTGAAGGTCATCAGAGGTCTAATGAAGCAATTTAAGCAGAGCTTTGTACTTCCTTAACACACCTGCAGGCACTACTTCACCTTCACCCTCCCACCTGCCCTCACTTCCTTGGAAGGCATCCCCTGTCCACACACTGCCTCTATACTGAAAATCAGCACTAGCTTCATAACATCAGTTATCCAACTCCCTTAATCCTAATGTGGATAATGAAAATACCTTACATTCCCCCCCACCTCCCTTCATTTTTCACTAACTTTCTCTCTACCACTTTTCCATATTCAAAGACAAACGTGTTTTGCACTGCTTTTGGAAGTACAAGTTCAAATTTCACAGGGTTCTGGAAGACGCCAAGTACAGAGCCAAAAGCACATTCAGTGAAAATGTCATCTGTGCTACTGAACGAAGTGCAACGTGCTCGGTAGCATTTACTTTACGAAGACAAATTCTTACAGTAACACATAGCTGCTAATGCTTCCCAAAACTTGGATGTTATCATAGAAAATATAAAAGTGTTTAACCCTGACCACAAGCCGATTCCTGAGGAAACCTATCACAACACCTTGCATGACCACCCCCCAGAGCTCACCGTACAGAAATGCTAATTACCGACTTATTGAATCAGGCTTTCTGCTTCCAAAACAGACACTTAGAAGTCATGAAGAATTTCTTTTAATATATATGTTTGCTTACAGAATGGTTTTCCACACTCCCTCAGAATTGTACTTGGAGATTAAGACCTGTTAAAGACTGATTTTCATTACGCAAATTCTTTTCCCATTTCACTTCAGCCTTTCAAAACTGAATTATTTCCTGAAAGATGCATTGTGTCGGATATGTCTCACCAAGACAGCTATTTATTTTAGTATCCGCTTAAAATAAATCTGCACTACGACATATAGCAAGCTGCAGAAACACTTTTAAGACAGCTTTCCAAGTGGTTCCCCTCCAGGTTCGATACACTGGCAGTTCCTTCTCCATCTTTATTTCGCAATTCACTCTTAGAAGAGTCTTACCCCATTCCCGCTCTCCTTCTTTGCAGCTTCTGATTAAGCTAAAATCTATAAAAAATAAAATTTCTATTAAAATAAAACTTCCTCTTCTTGAGAAATGTGTTTGAAGGCCTACATATATAAGCCAAGTTAGAATATGCTATAAACATTGTAAAGTGCAATGTGCTTCAAGGCCAACTTCACCAGTAACTGCACTCTTGGTCAGCTGCCGTCCCAGGAAAGCAGGTGTCTGATGCTGTGCTGCCTATTCATAATCCACCTCCCATCCCTGTAACTTGTCAATCTGGTGGCTGGTTTGGAGGGAAAGTTTAAAGATGACCCCGTCCTCAAAACGAGCGCAGATTTTTGGAGAACCCTTGCCAAACAAAGACACTCACAGGCTGAAGGGAAGGCTGCTAAGAAGCTTTTCTAAACTTTGACCCAACCGCAGGCCAACGAGCTCAGTTGGAGCTAAGCACTGAGCTCAGCATTCACCTTCACAGTCCGGCTGCACCAGGGGAAACTGGACTTGTTTGCTGCTTCTGATTAAAATAAAATCTATAAAAAATAAAATTTCTATTAAAATAAAACTTCCTCTTCTTGAGAAATGTGTTTGAAGGCCTACATATATAAGCCAAGTTAGAATATGCTATAAACATTGTAAAGTGCAATGTGCTTCAAGGCCAACTTCACCAGTAACTGCACTCTTGGTCAGCTGCCGTCCCAGGAAAGCAGGTGTCTGATGCTGTGCTGCCTATTCATAATCCACCTCCCATCCCTGTAACTTGTCAATCTGGTGGCTGGTTTGGAGGGAAAGTTTAAAGATGACCCCGTCCTCAAAACGAGCGCAGATTTTTGGAGAACCCTTGCCAAACAAAGACACTCACAGGCTGAAGGGAAGGCTGCTAAGAAGCTTTTCTAAACTTTGACCCAACCGCAGGCCAACGAGCTCAGTTGGAGCTAAGCACTGAGCTCAGCATTCACCTTCACAGTCCGGCTGCACCAGGGGAAACTGGACTTGTACTGCAGGAGAACAAACCGCAGTGGTGTGACCCACGGAGGTCCCTTCCAGCCCCGAACATTCTGTGATTCTGTGCGGTATCAGATGCATAGGAAATTAAGCTTTGTGACTTCCAGCAGTGAAACAGACGGCTGCTTTTACTTCTGTCCTTTCAATCACAACAGCCCTGCCTCACGGAGGACGAGCTGGTCGTAACACACGAAAAGGCAAGGAGAACGGAGGGTCACCTGGAACCCCTCTGCGTGTTTGCCGCACGATACCGCTGCCTTCTTTAAGCAGCCATTAGAGAACTCCCCTTCTCCCGACCCACCG